AAAGGAGATGTAGAGCTGGGTGTCATCAGCATACTGGTGACACGACGCTCCACACCCCCTGATGACACCAGCTAGCGGCCTCATATAGATGTTGAACAGCTTTGGGGAGATGTTCGACCCCTGTGGAACCCCACAATTGAGGCTCCATGGGTCCGAGACATTCTTGCCAAGCTGTACTCTCTGGGGATGGTCCTCCAAGAAGGATTGGAGCCAGGCAAGCACCAGGCCACCAATTCCCAACTCAGAAAGCCTCCCCAGGAGTATACCGTAGTCAACGGTATCGAAGGCGGCTGAGATGTCAAGGAGGACCAATAAGGACATATTGCCCCCATCGGCCTCCCTCAACAGGTCATCCAACAGTGTGACCAGTGCTATTTCTGTACTGTGGCGCGGCCTGAAGCTCCGACTGAAATGGATCCAGGGCATCTGTTTCATCCAAAAGAGCCTGAAGCTGATCAGCCGCCACCCTCTCGACCACTTTGCTCATGAAAGAAACATTGGTGACGGGCCTATAATTACCAATTTTGTCTGCTGCCAAATTCGGTTTCTTATGGGCCTGAGTGCCTCCTTGAGGGTAGGAGGTACCCCGCCCTCAAGGAAAGACCCATTAATTATCGCTGTGGCCCATTCTGTCATTGTAGGCTTGGCTGCTTTGATTAGCCAGGCCGGGCAAGGGTCAAGGGAGGAGGTGGTGGCACGACGGCGATCAAGCGCTTTGTCCACAGTACCCGGCATCACAGGCTGAAAGCGATCAAGGATCACTGGGCAAGACAGAGCACTGGACATCTCTGATCAACTCATTGTATTTAAAAAAGGAGAGAGATCCTGGCAGATAGCCTCCACTTTAGATTTTTTAAATGCTGCTAATTGGTCCGGTGAAAAACTAAGGGGAGGCCCATCACTCAGACCAATTCCGGATAGGTCGCACACTATACGGAATAACTCCGTCTGCTGGTTGGATGCTTTGCTTATCCGGTTACCGAAGTATGCATGAGCAGAAGCCTTTACCTTAGCCAGGTAGAGGTTAGTCGCGACCCTGACAGTTATCCAATTGTAATCCATCGGATTCTTCCTCCACTTGCGCTCTAGCCTTCTCCTAAACTGCTTCATCGCTCGCAGGTCCTGGTTGAACCAGGGCGCAGGCCGAGTTCTGCATTGGAGAGGGCGTCTAGGTGCGATTGTGTCTACAGCCTTGATGGTAGCAGTGAACCAGCCAGCAACCAGAGCCTCGACTTTTATTATTTGAAATAAATTATGATCCATTTGAAAGTGAATAAAATTGCAAATCCTTTCTTCTTCTTTGTACAGTTCAACAGGGAATTTAGAAGATGCTAGTATTTAATCAAACATTATCATTTGTGTATTTGCGAAGGCTTTCACGGCCGGGATCTAATGGCTGTTGTGGGTTTTTCGGGCTTCTTGGCCGTGTTCTGAAAGTGGTTCTTCCTAACGTTTCGCCAGTCTCTGTGGCCGGCATCTTCAGAGGACAGCAAACAGTTTGCTGTCCTCTGAAGATGCCGGCCACAGAGACTGGCGAAATGTTAGGAAGAACCACTTTCAGAACATGGCCAAGAAGCCCGAAAAACCCACAACAGCCATTATCATTTGTCCTTATATATAGTCCCAGCATGCCCCATGAGCAAAATCCAAGTGTTAAGTTCCTAATGCCATTCAGGAGATCTGAAAAATATGCTTAAAGAATGTTAATATGATTGCTGATGCTATCAGCATAACATCTTTCTAAAAGAGAGAGCAAATTGGTGAAAGGCAATTCCTCAGTAATGTTATCTCCTCTAATCTCAAATACAGTTCAAGAACCAATTCAGCAAAATTCACAGTTGAATTCAAAACCAATCAAGACGTTCCTAAGCCTTCTCAATTGCTACTCTAGCAGGTGTTTGTCTAGCTATTTTTACCTATCTTCAAGATCTCTTCAGTCTAATTACACAATCGTATTGCATCTTCTGTCGTAGTAATAGGCCTTCAGATTGTCTGAATGCCAATAATAGTTTTACAACCTTAAGTTGATCTTACAAGGCATCTCTGAGTCCTAAACATATTCTTAGTGTTTCTTTCCTTAGTATGTAACAATGTTTACTGAACTGTGTCAGGCAGCTAATTCTGACCATTGGCATCCTATTTCAAAATGGCATGAAAATGGATTTGAACCATTCATGGACACCACATTTAATTCTTTCACTTTAATTATGTCTTTATGTAATGTAAAAAAAGAGCCAAAGTCCACTGGACTAAAGTCTGTGTTTTTAAAGTTGTTAATTAGAGATGGGGGTAATTGTATATGAATATGAATGTCCCCGCAAAGCTGGACTTAATGAGAGTCTGGCCCTGCTCAGCTTTCCATTCACTCCCGGATCGCCACTCTCTTCCCACTCGGCTGGCCACTTGGCAGCTGTGCAGGGAGACTCATCCTCCTTCCCCCTGCCTGGAGTGGCTAGCCGAGCGGGAAGAGAGCGGGGCTCCAGGAGTGATTGGAAGGATGAGCAGGCCTGCTGCTGCCACTGGACACATGAGTGGATAGTCCAGCCCCCGGGGGGGCGGACCCTAGTTAAATCCAGCTGTGTGGAGATATTCGTATTCAAATACCCCCATCTCTAGTTAATATACAATAAGATATCTGGACAAAGTAGATTCAATCTGCATAAAGCTTTTATTGATGTGAGCATCTTCCAAAAAGAGTTCCACGCAGGAGAGGCTCCCAGTGGTAGATGTAAGGGGCATAATTTTACTTTTTTCTGTATCTACTGTGGGATTGTGTCCCTGCTGTCATTTTGTCCTGGAACTTTGTTACATACTTGGAAGACTATGGGAGGTGATATTGTGAGCTTGCATGTGAAGGGTAAATTAGCAAAAGTTGCTGTCCCATCTTTTTGTCAGTGGGATTCCTTTGCTAGATCAGAAGCCTATTAGGGACAAAAGAGGACATTGTATTCATGCATCACAAAGAGTTGATTTAACCCCATCTGTTTCAGCTGGAAGGTTTGGAAAAAAATATGATTTCTTGGCTGATTAGTAGCAGAGGATCTTAATGTAGTTTGTAAGCAGCCTTTTCACAAGACAACATCAGTATGCATCTCACAAAATAATTATTGTCATGATATTGTCCATCTCACACAGTGCATATAAAGACAAACTCACAATACAAAGGTGATTATTACTAATGGTGATGGTGATTATGTCATTTATATAACAAATTGCAAATGTGCAAAGCCGTTTAATTTAGTGTCTCAGTAAGAGCACAGTTTGGCCAATTTAGGTGATACTAGACTAGCTGAAGCTGTGCTGAATCTAAGTTTCTCACAATTTAAGATTGGTCAGAATCTTTTAGGATTAAAGAGGTTCATCACTCCTCAGTTGATCTCTGAGATCAAATAGACAAGTGTGTTTGGGCAGCCAAAGAGCATTTCTACTGGCAGAAGAGTATGCTTCTAATCCTAATCACATACAGCTGATACATATTTGAGTTAGGATTGCACTTCCTCTCTTCATCCTTGTAAACATTAATATAATTTATTTGTTTGTCTCTTTGTCTTAAGATCAAATGCAACACCAATGATACGGTATAGATGGCTGAAAATAGTGGTGTCTTCTTTCAGAAACGAGAGATTTTATTCTGCTTGACAAATCATATCTACACACACACACATATACACACCCCCTACACCCTATACAGTGCAATCCTAATTAAGAACTGAACCACCTATCATGGGTTTGGAATGGGTAGAAACCTCTTTTGCCGGCTACAGCTTCCCTTCCTTGTGCTGGCAAAACTCCCTGATGCCAGCTGATCTCAGAGACCTGATGTCAGAAGGATTTGCCAGAACAACTGCCATATTGACCAAGATCAACTACCAGAAGAGTCAAAAACAAGGCAGAGAAGGGGTGTGTAAGAGCAGAGGCGGGTTATTTCACATCCAAAAACTCAT